GGTAAGTTTGAGAGAGAACTAGCTTAGTTTGCCTCTTTTCCTAGCTAGCCAACCCTCTTAGTTAGGACTAAACTAGATTCCAACATTAAAGGCACTCTAAGCCCAGAAAGTCAGGCATTTAATGTTGACTTTCCTTTCCTAGCTTGCACAGACAATCGACGCCCGAGAGCCATGAGGCACGTTACTTGAAGTAGTGCATGCAGAAAGCTAGCCCAGGAAAGCCGCACCTCGAGAGGAAGCAAAATGTAGGTTTCAACAGTACATGTAACTTACACCAAAAGGAAAATAGTAGGAAAGTTAGGGAGAAAGGAAGGGGAAGACCAAACCACAAAAGGAGATCCCTTTGAAGCCTAGAGCAGGACCATTCACTTACAAAAGGAGGGCATGATCCATTAAGTAGGAGAAGGGAGAACGGGGACAGAACCAAGCAGCACCACCCAGGAAACATACCCAGAGAACTTCATTAGCCCATAAACATCCATTCAGCCTTAAGAATCATGATCCATGCAACCTTAGTATTTTCCACAACCTTCTACTAAAAATCCTAGCCATCGTAAGCCTTGTTATCACCCTAGGAAAGTCCAAATCGTTCAGCCAAGAATGCCATGCAACCATGCTAACTCTCTCTCAACATGTTAAAGTGATGAACTTCTAACTTCCACACCATGCCTTACTTGAGCAAGCCATTATTTGCTTAATCATATTATCTTCAAGTCATTGATCCAACCAAGATATTTCCTCAGATGTGCTAATTCTTTCAAGATATTCCAAGTTTTGGTATGAAACCGAACCAATGGAGACAATAGGATGTTCTCAAAGCCCAAGTCCACCTTGACCTAAAATTCCCCCAACATAGGGCAAAACCCTACACTTAAGCCGGCCACCTCCTTATAAATACCTCATATCTTCCAGATTTTGGTAAGCTTTCGCAGCCATACAAACCCTAAACTTCACTTTTTTCAGAGTTATTGACTTAGGCATCGGAGATCCATTGGCCAAACACCTCCCCCACCCCCCACCTCGTGGGTGTGTGAAACTTTGGTCTTTGATTAAAGGTGTTATTTGTTTTGTACGTACAATTTCGTCAAGATTGAAGATGGTGGAGATTTACTGCCATATACATATTGAAATTTTGTTGAAATAAATGTTCACCAACAAATTAAATTTTGACTTGCTAGGGCTTATGTGGTGCACATCATGGGTCTTGCCAAATTGCACACATACGTGTGACGTATTAAAGTCGAACGAGTCATCAAGAGTGACACATGTCGATGTCTGAGCCATCCGTGAAACAAATCAAATTAAGTAAAAAAGAGCAAATTAACCCTAATTGATCAAATCCCTCAATTTTGGTTTAATTCCAAACTACTGATTTTGATTTAATTTACGATTCTGATTTAATTAATAACTAAATTAAACCAACTAGTCTAACTTATCAAATACAAAAGGGGACAAATTAACCCTAATTCGATCAAATTATATCAATTACAATTTAATTTCTTAAATTAAAGATTCTAATTTAGTTAAGAGCTGAATTAAATAATTAGCTCAAATTAAATCAAATTAGAACCTAATCCCACAAATTACGGGATTGAAATTAGGTCTTCCATAGCAAACCCAATTCTTTACCTATAAATACTATGAACTTATTCTTAAGAGAAACAGACATGGTAGCAAAGGTTGTCAAGGGTGTAACTGATGAGTGTTGGAATTGTACCCTAAACCCAATAATAGGATGACATGTTTAACTAACTAGTTTAATTTAAGGGCAAAGATTATTATTTTAAGCCGTCTCCTTGAATTTTATACGCTTAAACGATTAATTCAAGAAATATGTAATTAGGAGAATGTGATTTAAAAAAGTTAGATTCATGAGACCATTTTCTTTTGCATATCCTAAACGTTCTTGATCATAGGATTGCCAATTGGACATTGATGACCTATTAAGATCAGTACATGCTATATCTTCTCTCCGGGAGAGTGATTGGTCTCGAGTCATTGGTGTGATTGACACCAAGACAAGTATGTAGGTGCTCAATAGAGAATGAGTCCACTAAACGCGATTAGCAAGGAGTTTACATACTTATGTCACATGAGAACTCATGGTTGGGATAATGCAATGCAGTCATTTGACATGAGGCATCATAGTTGTCTTGTGGTTACTTGATCTTTAACTGTGTCAAAGGCACTTCATTAGAGGGTGTCCCCTAAGGATGCGCGCGGTTTGGTTTGGTGCGGTTTTGAAGCTAAAACCAAAATAAAACCAAACCATTTGGTTCGGTTCGGTTTGGTTTTAAATAGTTTTGGTTTGGTTTCATTGTTTGAAAAAGCTATTATGGTTACCTAATTGTATCTTATTTACTTTTCCTTTGATATACACTTCTATTATTGCATTGTTCAAGCATGCATACAATATTAAAATTCAATCAAGCATGTCTTCAATATAGCGTTCATCCAATTCAATAAAAAAGTTCTGGTGTTTCAACTTACTTTGCATTATTCAAGTTTCAAACATTTGTCTTTCCCTTTCCTTTTACACACTTACTAGCCGAAGGTTTAGAAAGTCTTTGAACTTGTGAACAGACTTGAGAAGCTAATACTTGAAGAAGACCTTGCATGTTGTAAATTTAAAACCAATGTATGAGAAATCATTGATCCTTGTGAACTAGAACCTTTTGTATAGTTGCTTCTCAAGCTATCATTTTATCGTTTCGTATAGTTGCTCCTCATGCTACTATTTTCCAAAGCACGCAAACAAAAAGCATGCATGTGAAGCCCAAAGGTGTCAGCTAATTTGAACACAACAAGAGCAAAAACATTAACATCATCATTGACCCAAAATAAAAGAGAAAGTCTAGGGAGAGAGTCATGGAAGACCGAGAGCTGCAAACGAGAAAGAAAGAGTACAGAGTCTACAGACTACGACTAGAAGAAACAAAAGAAAGAGATTATGTGGCCATGTTATGATGTGGTTGAGTCCATACTAAATGGATGCACTCAATGAAATAACCAATTAGAATTTAACATTTAAAAAAGCTATGCGGTTTTTGTTTCGGTTCGGTTTTAGATGGTCGGAACTGCAACCAAACCGTTTTTCCTTTATTCGGTTCAGTTTCAAACCAAAACTGTTTTGAAACCGCAAAACCAAACCGTTCGGTGTGGTTCGATTTGGTTCATGTTTTGGTTTCAGTTTTCGGGTTCAAGTGCCCACCCCTAGTGTCCCCGTTATAGTTAGGGTTAAGCTACTTAGCCATAGAGGTAGGTGAATGCACAACAATGGATCTTTAACTTTCAAACAGTTGAGGGAGAGTACTCTATGATATGATTAAGAATCTTTGGCCAGAGTAAGCCTTGATGGCCCTTTAAGAATCACAAGCCCGATTCAGCACCATGTGTTCACCACCCTTGAATCGAATTCTACTTTGGAGATCGAATCAGAGGAATATTTTTCAAAAAGAATAGCTACACAGAAATTAAACCCTAAACACTCATTATTAGACAAATATTATTTTGTACACATTTTTTATTATTCGTTGGAGGAATTTTCGTGTTTGCAAACAAATTTGAAATTTGAAAATACAAAAGGGAACACATTTAAAACTACCATACCAATAGTCCTACAAACCAGTGTTCTAAAAATCGGTTTAGCCGACCGCTTAGGTGCTGGGCCATGGAGCCCCAACCAGATTTAGGCCAAAACGTTCAGTTAAGGTAAGAAAGATTCAGGCGCTAGGCGGCTTGAATCTCGTGGCAGCTCCTAAACTCGCTACAACTCTCGCAATGATTCTGCAACTCCCAATCTTGTATCGTATCAACAGAGCCTCAACAAAATTTCTGCAGCTCGTTGTCTGTGTGTAGATGAGGGAAAATAAAGAGTGCTATTTGACATTTAAATTCGTGGCAGCGCGAGCTGGATTTCAAATCCATTTTGAGGTTCTTAAGGATGAAGAAGAAATGATAAAAATTTAATATGAAGGGTTTTTCACTTTCCAAGGGGTTTAAAGATGGTAACGATCTAGGCTCCACCTTTGGTGATGTGAGAGAGGTGGGGTGGACAAGTTACATGAAGAGTTATTAAATGACTTTTAATTATTAAACCACCCACTACGTGGAGTTTTTAACTTTTTAAAAGCTTGTGATATAGTAATACTAGGTATACTAAATTTACATACTAAATGATGTGTCACCAATAAAAAATATCAATAAGAAATAAGGATGATAATTCACACTTAAGAAATATATAATAAATTTACCTAAATTCGCCTAGTTCGCTTAGGCTCTCGTCTAGGCCCCCTAGATGCCTACACTCCCGGCTAGCGCCTATCTTTTTTTTTTTAACAAATGATTATGTACAATAAGGAGAAGGGGTAGACTTAGCCTTATAATGAACTATCAATAATGTGGTTCAAACTCGTATTTGACGAGAATCGTAACTAAAACCTTTCATTTACAAGTAAAAAAAAAAATATCACTAGACCGTAGTATTATGTGACAACCAACATGAAAGATGAGTCCATGACTTTGTGTTTTTTTTTTTCTTTTTTGTGTTAAAAATGTGACTTTCTCTTGCATTCTTGAATAACAAAAACAGATAGGCCTACAATAATTTCATCTATATATATAAAGGGAGAAGGCCAGTTTGGTGAAGCATTCAAAATGCCAAGAATGCCCTCACTTTAGGAAAAAAAAAAAAAAAAGAACGCAAAATCATCTTAATAGAATATGGTTAAAATCGTAATACGCAACTATAATAGGGCTGAAATTGTAATACACACAATATAATATTCGGAGATGTTTTTACAACCGTTAGATGAAAGACATCCCCCATTCAAACAAATTGTGACCCTTAAGATGAAAGACATTCTACAAGCAGTTGCTACAATGGAAACTGTAACCGACCGCACGTTCAAGAGGCCACAACCGCTTACTTAATCCCCAATATTGATAGAAAAAGGAGAAATAACTCAACCGCACATAGCCGTTTCTCACATCGTCTGTTTTATGCTTCTTCTTCGTCCACTTTCATCGTCTTAAATTTCCTATTCATTTTGCTCAATTTTTGTTCAATTTCGATAAGGTATTATAGCTCGGAGCTGATTTACAGATTTTAAAAATGGTGGATGCTAGGCAAAAAATGCTTGGACAGGTAATTCAATTTCAATGCCAAGACCGTTCGTTTCTTTTGGATAATTTTGATCTTCTGCTGATTTCGACTGAATTCTAAAAAAAAAATTAATTTTCTTAGTTAAATTTGTAGTTGTTCATTTCTGATGAAGAGCTGTGAATGTTATGAATTGCTACAGGTTTAAACTAACGATCTGTTCAACAATATGAAATTGCTTTGTGTTTTAAGATCTTCATCCGAATAAAGTTTCGTTATTTTGTATGTTAACCGACACCCATTTGCAGTTCGAAGCCGATGTGCATATTTTGAATATGGTGTATGCTGGGCCAAAACGGCTTGGACAAGTAATTCAATTTCAATGGCCAGACCGTTCTTTATTTTTTTTATTTTTTTTATTTTTTGCGTAAGTTTGGTCTTCTGCTAATTTCGACCAAAAAAAAAATTAATTTGTTTAGTTTAATTTGTAGCTTCTTTGCACGAAGCGTCCTCCCTCCTCCTCCTACCCCACATCACTCTCTTCTGGAAGAATTTGTTTATGAATTGAGAGATTGAATTGCTGCTTGGAAGTTCTGAAAATTTATGGTCTTTGTATGGTATTTTAGGTTTAGGATACAAAAAGATTGTGTCTTTGATGTATAATTAATATTGAATTTGATGAACTTGATTAGATTTTGCATTGTTTTAGGCCATTGCATATTAAGTCTGTGATAAAAAGTAGGGATTGTTTGTGTGATTTTTTTCCATATTCATAATTGTTCAGCATTATCGAAATTAGAGTTTTTTTTTTTTGTGTGCTGATTTTCAGGTGCTCTGTATTAGTAATTGCTTATTTCAAAAGGGAATGCGGGGATATGATAGAGATGTAACCAAATTTCCAATCTTCAACTGTTGACTTTTTGTATGTAAATTTTTTATCACGATATTTTGGAATAATTAGTTTAACAATTGATATTTGTTGTTTTGGCATAGAAATATGGTCGGTCAGGCGATGAATATGAAGATTATGAGGACAATGAGGATGGCGAAGACTATGAAGAGGAAGAGAAAAATTCGAAAGAGTTTCACCCCTGCTACATTTGCACCTTTCAGTTTCCAGTTGGATTGAAATCATCCATCTTCTTCCACATGCTCACCAGTTTCCTCCAACGGAATATTCAAAAGGATAAACATGGGATGAAACTGTAAAGCAATGGGCAGTTTTGCAAGAAAGAACACAAACTGTAAAGCATAACGGTTTCCTTTGTTTCTTTGCATTTAAATAGAAATTAAATAATTATAACAAAATTGACTGGGAGACTGAAACTCAAGATCTTCCTTAGGAAATCCTCTGAACCAACTTTCAATTTGTGACATTGTAAGGTACCGGTTGCATTTATATTATCTAACAACTATTAGTTAACATTTTTCAAAATCTGAGCCGCCACTCTCTCATTTGTTACCCAAGGATTGACGGTTGGCTAATTAAATCTCAAAAGAAAAAAAACTTGCTGCGACTGAAGTTCTTCGTTACTTGAATAATATGACCTTGCGACCTCTCTTGACAACTTGAACTAAAAACCTAAACTAAGGCTAGAAATCCAAGTAATTGAGCATTAAAAAGTTAAAAGTAAATTGTGAGGTTTAGAGTTAAGGAAGCTAATTATCCAAACTTACAAAGGCTAAAGTAAGGTTTCATTTATCACGAAAGTCATTGATAATCATCATAAAAACCATATTTGATTGCGGGTTGCTCAATATAAAGGGAGAAGGCCAAATTGGTGAAGCATTTCAAAATGGCAAGAAAGTCCTTTTGTTATCTACACAATCAAACCTTTAAAAGTTCAAAAAGCTAGGACAAATTGGTAAAAAAAACCATAACCGAACAAAAAAACAAAAATCAACACTTTAATAAAAACAAATCAATTAAAAAATAAAGTGGAGAACACCATTTTAGGAGAGAAATATTAAAAAATAAAGTGAAAAAAAGGCCACATGGTGAATAACTGCTGAGAGATATTAAATAGAAAAATTAAAATTTGTTATGCTGGAAAAAAAAAAAAAAACAAAACAAAAACGGAATAACTTCTCCTCCATTTTAGGAGAAAATATTAATATCTATATTAAAAAAAATCTAATAAATTATACTAATATCTGCATATGGTCCGACTAATTTAGATGGATTAGGATGTTTCAACTAATATTTGAAAGCTAGAAGTCAAGTTTGGTGTCTCAAGGCTTCACCAAAAATAATTGAACTAAAAAGCCCCTCAAACAAATAAAAAAACTACCTCAAATACAAAGCTACCTAGAATTTATGAATATTTCATGATGGATATTTTCGTCAAACTTAAAAGTAAAATAAAATAAATAAAAGAGGAAAAAAAAAAGTAAAAAAATTGAACGTGTGATTCAAACCTCCACGTTTCCTTCACACGCATAGCATTGCTTTTTCCCCTATAACTTCCCACTCCCACATCAGTATTTCCTCTACGTCTCTGCCTTTGCAAACAAAGCGGAACGGTTATAGAGAGGAAATAAACCGCCAGCAAAAAGTGGGTACAAAATTTCAACAACGTGGCCTCATAAACTCGACTAAAAGCTTTCAAGAAAAGAGCAAATGAATTTTCAATACAAAAAGGGAGCAGTGGTTTTGGGTTTTTTCTTTTAAATTTTAGGTTTTGCTTTGCGTTACAGAGTACTGCTTTCTTTTGTTTGTTTAGCTTGCTTCTGTTTTCTCTACTAATAAATTTATTTGTATTTTTAGGATGCCAAGTTTGGTAGAAAGAAAGCGCCAGAGCCGCAACAAAACATGCAGTCCATTGATGGTGCTGTGACTAATGGGAGTAGTTCATGTGAAGAGAACAGGTAATGGATTTGATCTTATCATTTGCTATATTGAATTTGTAGAGTTGGGCTCAATTGTTCTTCATTTTTGTCTGTTTTTCAAGCAAAAATTTACATTGAACAGTATTAGAGTTCAAAAACATCTGTTATACAAGCACTAACTTCCCCGTTCGTATAATCCCATTTTTTCCGTTCCTACTTATTTTCCCATATCCAAATTCAAATGTTAATTTTCCCCTAAGTTATACAACTGCTATCAACAGTTGTTGCTTGGTTTTACAGACTCTCACACTCCAACGTAGGATAAAACGGGTATTAAGCAACGCCCGAGTCATCATTCTTCTTAATTTCAATTTTTTCGCTTTTTTGCTTTGCCATTCTTCTCCCACTCCCTCTCCCCAGGCGTAAAAAGGAAATTAATCTAGGTGTAAGCTTCTTTTTTTCACTTTTTTTCCTGCATGGTTGTACTCATTTTACACATTTTCATGTAAGCATAATATGTAATTGTATGAATATCCAGGTTTAGCTTCATATGGGTTCTTTTAACTTCTTCCTTTGAAATCTTCATTGTGTGTTTTTAAAATTTCGGTCAGATTATGAGTTTCACTTTTAATTATCTTAATGTGCTATACGTGTGCTATGGTAATTTTAAAAATTATTTGTTTTCATTCTTAGGATATTTACAACAATACCCACAAAAAATGAAGAAGGAACCTATTGATAAGATCTCAAACAGACGTGTCTCTATTTTTACACCTGGTTGGGAGATATCTGTCGGAGTAAAAACTACTGATCTAAGCCAACTGATTCTCAAAGAGTGGAAAAAGAAGAAGCATGAGCAGTATGTATCCTAAATTATATACAAATTTGTTACAAGAAATCTAACATTATATATACCTTCAATGTATAGGTGGCGCATGAAAAAGGCTGTGGAAGAATTAAAACCTTCAACAACTCCTCAGATCATACGTATTTGGAATAAAGTCCAACAAATAAGGTACAACACCATTTCTTACCTATTTATTTTTAATGGCATTCTCTATATCATTCTACAAATTAATTACCTCAAATTATAAAATAAAATAAAACAATTTATGGTGCAGAAAAAAGATTAACAGTGGCCAAACAACTTTTCTAAATACGGTAAGTCTTCTCTTATTTTCATACAAAAGTATACTATAAATTCAAATTGCATTCAATTTTCAAATATAAATAAAATTGCATTTTTTGTCAGTTTTACAAACATCACACCCGTCTCAAAATACAAAGGTTGAAGTACAAGATTAAGGTAATATTTCTTATTATTTAATTTTTTAAATATGGTTACAATTTGTTACCTCAAACTTGACAAATATTTTTATCTTTCAGTATTCTACAAGTAACTGGAGTAAAAGTATTGCCATGAGAAAATTGTCAAACTTAAAGGTATTTAGGTTAAGTTGCTTACAATCTTTATAGTTGGGATTGTGCATTATAGTTAGACTTCTTATTTTATCATCATTGCTTGCAGATTAACCATGAAAATCTAAAGCATCAAGTGCAAGCAAATGGGTGGCAAGTATGACTTTGATTTCACACGTAGGCGCTATGTTTACATATGTACATGTTGTCCGTATTTTGCTTTGCTTCATATATTAGGAGTTTATCCCTAGCTAGCCTATAACTTTGATTGAAAACTTATGAATCTGAAACATTTTGATTTAAGGACATTAAGTGTTGTCAATATGTATTTAGAAATCAAATTACATGTCATATTTTCATATTTTTTTATTTATAAATAGTATATGTTTTCCCATTTTATCTTCGTTGTTGTTTTAAAGAACAAATAGTAAAAAATGTATGAGAGATTACTCACATATGTGCAAATTGGATGGAATATATGCTCCTAAATTATTCAACAAATGTGGCAATATGACAATATTGCATGCGATAACACCATTATCACTTTAGAATGATGGGATGATTGTACGGTAACACCATTATCTCATCAACCTTTCTTCAACTCAAGCAATTGGAACTACGTAGCCTGGCCCATGCTTTAATGTTGAACATCTCAGTCCCAACCCAAAATGGCACACCCATAATTATGTACTCACTCCTCTAACTGTATCAACTATCCCATTCATAAATTTCATTTTGGGTACAATGGGCAGGTGCAAAAAGACTAAGTTAGATGATTGAACATAATAAAAAATTGAAAATAATAAGAAATTGTTGTGATGGACACAAACACAATTTATAAAATAATCACTTAAGAAATATAAGAATATCTAAAACAACACATCTTTGGGGCGCGTAGCGCCCGTGATGCAAAAATGCCTCTCGCACGCACGTTAGTGCGTGCAGAGAGGCTAGTCTACACTAAGGGAGAGGGGATGAACTTAGCCTCACAATAGACCAGCAATAATGTGATTCAATCAATTGTTTATGAAATATTACTTTCTTTATTCTTAATGTAAATTCTATAGAAACTAATTTTATTATAGGAATTCAGCTGCTTTAATTAGTTTATGGGAGCTTTCTTTTAGCATGATTTAAAATTATTCATTTACTTCAAATATTTGACTTTCCTTTTGTCAATTTACGCTAAACACATTTAAAACGTGTAAGTTGCACGTAGCACGCCGTGATTCAAAATATGTCTTTTACACGGGCGTGAGCGCTCGCATGAAGGCTAGTATTGTTTAAATACATAGTTACACAAACTATGATCAGTTCTTCCTGGATCTTTAAAATAACAACTTACAAAAATCTGCAGAAACCTAACGAATCGCAGTTTGACGGATAAACTTTTCGTTCTTTCTTCACATAATGTTTCATAACTATAATATGATTGAACGAAATGCTTCAAAGATCAGAGAGGCACTTTCCATTAATAAAGTCAATGACTTGGGTGACCTTCTCTTCAAGAGCAGCAGTTACAGCTACCAAATTTTTCAAGAATTCTTCAGCAGTTGGTTTTTCACCGTCTACTATGTCAGTCACTGCTTTAACAAATATGATTGGGACTTTCAACAGATCTGCAACGTAAGCAACAGCTGCCCCCTGAAACGCAAAAAATTTCAAAGAGTTGCTTTAATGGATTATGGAAGTAAACTTCAAAATTACTTTAAGAAACACAGATAGGTTCGATAGTTTTTGCACGAAATAAGCAGTGATACTAAGATTTAATACGTTAAGAAGAATATGCTAATACTACCTCCATGTCTTTAATTGTAGCATCATTTGCAATGATCGATGCTTCGTCCTGTGGGGACATATCTAGAGAGTTTCCAGTGGACAGTTTACCAACCTGAAGCATACGCACAAATGTCAATGACACTGAGCACTTGCAATGCTATCAAATAAAGGGAAAAGGAAATCCAAGATCGTGATAAATAAAATCTGCACCATAATTTACATTCGTATGCCTAACCGCTTTAGTGTAGATAATGGAGAACACCAATTTAAAACGCAAACTGAGCAGCAGTATATCAAGTGATTTGGAAGTAATTCAATTTAAGGGGTGACATATTTAAATAAGTCCAAGCATTTTTCTGCATGGTAATTACCTTCAGATTAAGTTCCTTTTGAAGATTCGGTGACGCACAGGCTTGCCGTAAACCAACTCCATATAGATCAAAGACCTGTAGAAGACATACATACAAGGCAGAGAAAAACTGAGTACAAAATTTCAAATACGTCATTACCATGCAAATGGCTACATCAATATTCCAATACAGCAGGAAGGTGGTTCGTAGCGAAACATTATTCCCTTTAGCTAGGAATAGATATTGCATCTTCTGCTAAGTCGAAATAGTGCTGAGATGAGAGAGATTATTGTGGTTTAAAACATAATTTGATTAAGGCTTCTAGTTGGCGTCAACCACATGACAATACACAATATGGCTTTCTCCTCAACTTTCAATACTATGTTTGGAGTATCAGAAGAGTAGATACTCAAAAGTTTAGTTGAATTGAACAAAGGGTCAAGGCTAAAGTGTTAACATCTTCCGATAAATTATGAGTACTTTACCCCCTCCAATTAGAACACCAATCTTTTATTGCTTTAATCTTTCTAGGCCACTTTTAAAAGAGCAACCATTCAGTTCAGTCTACAAGATCATACAAAGTCACTGGACTAAGATTTTGGGGCCTCTGTATTTGTAAAAGGACTGCTGTTATCAGAAAATACTGCAAACAGGAATTGTCATCTATCGTCCAATTAAGCACACAATTTCCTTACAATATGTTAAAGAATCAATCAGGTGACCGTTGGACATGTGGGGACCAAATATGTGCCAAATCATCATACTAACAGAATTTTAAACGGAAATTGACGGCAAGGACCAATGGTGCACGTTTTGCTAAATTCAGGGACTTAAATTAACAAGTTTTAAGTTAATTCTAAACTAGCTTGAAAGTTCAGGGATTGTCTATCCCCCTTTCCCTTCCCCTCCTTTGCCTGCTTTCAATTTATACTATACTAATAAAGGCACCCAACTTATGCACGAACATAAATTTAGATTAGTTGCTCTCTTAAACAAGCACGAAAGCACTTCACTACAAAAACTGAGAAACACTCACAGGAATAGGTATCCTTCTGTCATGATAAGCAACATCACATGCGAGATACACATCACCGATGCAAGCTCCTTTGGCCTGAAAGCATCCATCAATCAGTCATACATAATATGTCAAGATGCTTCATGAATACACATGTCAACATACTTAATAAATAAGTTGTGTGTGTCTGTTTGTGTGCTCGGTGATGCAACTATGGAATTGTGATTTCCTTTAATTATATCATGGTCCCCGACTCCCTACAGTGTAACAGTTGAAATCTTCAAAATTTTCAACATCTTTTATAGGAAGCTACAAATTCTCCAATTAATAGTGCACTGAGAGAAAATAAAAATGAAACTTAACACTTATCCTATAAGGAGAAGAGCAAAGTGGGTATACCTTAAAACCACCAGCAGTGCCTGCATTGATAATTAGGTCAGGTTGTAATGCTTGAATGGAAGCATAGGTCACAAGAGATGCAGAAACTGTGCCTACACAATCAACCCCTGCAAAGAAATTTGAGGAACCACCTCTTCTTTTAAGTTCTGATTAAACAAGAGTGACCAAAACGAAGGAAGAAACAATCATAACATAAGATGATTTTCAAGGAGTGGTAAAATTTCAAACACAAACCTGATCTTGCTTTAGAAAGAATCTCAGGGACTCACTGGATGATTTTGATAGACTGATACAGTAGAAGTTGAGTACTGAATTGAACTTTAGGGGGTAGTTAATTAAGGGTAGTGTTATTCACACACCCCTTTTTACTCCCACACACTCTTGTTAATTTTTGTCCATTGATCTTCTTCAATTTATTCAATTCAACGGCCAAAAAGTGAGAGGGTGTGTGAGAAGTAAAAATGGGTGTGTGGATAGCACCACCCTTAATTAACTACAGGCTAGGCCTCTTGTGCTATCAGCTGTCTGTACTTATTAGTGATGTATATGGGATTCTCATGGTCGCTAAGTTGGCTTCTTTCGTTTTTTCCTAGATAGTCCTACACAAATGACATATTGTATTGGAACAATTATTCGCAGCATCATCTTTATCTTTCTTTTTATATTTGCTTATAGTTTAGATTCTGAGCTGTTTTCCTTCCCTAAAATACTGAAAGCCTAGCCCTTCATATACCTATTATAAGAGAAAGGTCAAACCATTTATACTAAGCCACTCACAAAATCCTCTCAGTCATGGCAGCTTGGTTCTATAATTTACAGATACTATTAACAGATTTAAGTTAGACTCTTTCAACATGATATAACCAAGACAAACAATCAATTTATCAAAATCTATCCTGACAAGAAAAGCCAAACCTCAAAAGAGTAAAAAACTCACCCAAAGAAGAATCTTTTCCAGGCCAAACTAGATTAATCTGAAGATCTTTGTAAGAACCGTGATACCGAACCCAAGGCACCCCGTTTGGGAACCTGCACCATTCATGCATTAAACATCAGAAAAATTAAGACTAACTAAAAAATCTTAAATGGGATATATAACACTGTACCTAATACTCAAACTTCAATTCACAATATAGCCAAAGATGGTCATTTCTCAAATAAAAAAAAATCAGATTTTAACAATCTCACATAGTTAGAGAACTGTAAAGTGATCATAATAGTCTTGAATGGGCCACAAAAACGTGAATAATATGCAAAGCAACTAAGCAAGTAAGAATGAGGACAATTCCTATTTGCTGTTTGTTTTCTGAAAATTGAAAACAAATCAAAAGCACTTTTTTGATGAGCAACAAAAGCACTTTTGCTAAATTAAACAGCACATAAATTTCCATATGAAAAAGTGGAAACAAGGAATATTCAAAAATAAATAAATAATCGAATCACCCAGTACCCAATTTAAAAAATTTAAGTCAAAGTCGAAACCAGAGATTTTGAACTCACACGGAGTCAGGATCCTCTGTGAGATTGAACTTGTTCACCACTGGAAGCGCTTCAGTCTGCATAGCTGTTAATTCACTCCAAAAAAATCATTACTTTATACAATTAAAATCGGAATAATAGCTGAAAAAGGTGGAAATATCAAATAGCAAGAGTGGAAGTATCAAAACGGAGCAAACATACCGATGACGAGGAGGATGGTGGAAATGGGGCGCTTCTCAGCTTCGGAAACCAAGGCTTCCTCGGTAGCGTCCGATTTGTCGCCGTGAGGAGCCATTAATTTTTCTTTTTCTTTTTCTGGATTTTTCCTTCACTTTCTCGGCCGATTTTCTTTCTTGCCAAACAAACTGAGTCGAGCGCAGAGAGACTTGAGAAGACGGAGGCTGAGAGTCAAGGACAATTCGATAATTAACCAATCAGAAGGCGCCGCCTCGGATTTGATCGTCGACCGTTGATTGGTGGTTATGATCGACGATTAGAGGGTATTGGTACACGTGTTCTCATCCGCACGATTGCCATTCTCTTGGTTGGTTATTTGGGTTTGTCTTTTAATATAAAATAATAACTAGCCTTCCTGCACGCACTAATGTGCATGCGAGAGACATTTTTGCATCACGGGCGCTACGCACCCCAAAGATGTGTTGTTTTAGATATTCTTATATTTCTTAAGTGATTATTTTATAAATTGTGTTTGTGTCCATCACAACAATTTCTTATTATTTTCAATTTTTTATTATGTTCAATCATCTAACTTAGTCTTTTTGCACATGCCCATTGTACCCAAAATGAAATTTATGAATGGGATAGTTGATACAGTTAGAGGAGTGAGTACATAATTATGGGTGTGCCATTTTGGGTTGGGACTGAGATGTTCAACATTAAAGCATGGGCCAGGCTACGTAGTTCCAATTGCTTGAGTTGAAGAAAGGTTAATGAGATAATGGTGTTACCGTACAATCATCCTATCATTCCAAAGTGATAATGGTGTTATCGCATGCCATATTGTCATATTGCCACATTTGTTGAATAATTTAGGAGCATATATTCCATCCAATTTGCACATATGTGAGTAATCTCTCATACATTTTTTACTATTTTTTCTTTAAAACAACAACGAAGATAAAATGGGAAAACATATACTATTTATAAATAAAAAAAATATGAAAATATGACATGTAATTTGATTTCTAAATACATATTGACAACACTTAATGTCCTTAAATCAAAATGCTCCAATCCCTGGGTCAAATATGAGTTTTAACCCAAAACTCATTTTTAGGGCAAATTTAGCCCAAAATCCCCCCCGGGTTAGTGGATTGCGCCACTGTATATTTGTATTTTTTGTTGTTTTATATTTATAAATTTATTGAGTTCAATGGCTAAGATCTAATATGATCAAATCTAACGGTAAAAAGAAAAAGATTTAATGGTCCAAATTTAAATCCAACGGCTAAAATAGTAAATTTTTTTATCCCCACTTCTTATTCTTTCATAGTATTCCACGAGTTTTATGATGTCGGTTTAGTGATTTTTCAATATTTATCGGAATCTAACTATTTTTAGGTTAAAATGTTCATAAAATTAAATTAGGATGGTGTACATAATTTTTTTTTTATTTTTAAATTTACTTTAAGAATCTTAAATTCATTCTTTAATGATCTCGGACTAAAAATTTAACCTATAAGGGTTGGAGCAGAAAATATGTTTCTGGGTTAACCTAAATTTTCTGGGTTAAAAATTTTAGGTTTTAACCCAAGGGTTGGAAATAATTAACCTTATTTCTATCGCGCTTTTTAAGGTGCAGGCCTCACGTTGTGGACTTTGCATGCAAACTGAATGTGATTCGTTGGATCAAATCTGAATGGCTGAAAAAAAATCCATCAAAATGAGCTAGGGTGAAATCGAGTTATAAATGACCCATCACTAAATAAAAGCAGTACTTGGCATCAATTCAATTATTATTGTTTATTTAAACTCTCACCCTCCTCGACATTAATATTAACCTTCTTAAATTTGTCTTCTCCTCCCAAAATTCTCCAGCTACCGTGAATGCTCAAACATCCTTCTCATCAAAACCTTCATTGTTGTTTGAAAACTTGCTTCCCATTCCAAACCCATTTGTAGTTGTGATGTGCTTGTCTTCTCTGGCGTCACTGCAATTCTAGACAGCATTTAAGAAAATTAGGGGAATTTGGTTCAGGGGTGTCCAATCGACCTCATTGCAATCCCATAGAAAGGACGTGCTTTTTGCTTTATTCGAGTTGGGTTCAGAGTCATTGCACCATAACTGACGTCATATTTGAATCCCCACAGTTAATTTCAAATTTGGTGAATTTGAAAATGGAATACTAGAATTTAATTTTGTTATTTATGCTAATTATGATTAATTAAGTTAGTTTGAAGGTTAATGATCCATGTTTGTTGATGTAATTAGTTGAAATTGGTGGCTACATGTGAATTTTGGGAAATTTGGGTGCATTGTGAAGTTATGAAGCGATGTTGACGGGTTGTGTAGAGGCTAGGTCCTTAATTGTTATTTTGGTAAAGTTGAAGTTTTGAGTTGGGATTAATTTTTATATCTAAATTATTGTTAATTTATGGTGGGACTTGTAATTGCTTAAGTCATGATGCTCTATTCACAGTAGATGTATAGCTTTGAAACTTTCATGGTAGGTTGTTGTAAGGTTATGTGTTGTTGATTGTTGTTGTGTATGTATTCTTATGTGTACATGATATGACAATCCACGGTATTCAATTTGCAACCAAAGAAGAAGATTCTTATAGGGGAAGGGTTTACAACCTATCCCAGGCCCCCCATGTGCTAGGATTGATAGTGAGAAATTTTAATGACGCACAGCTTGGTGCCTTTACGGCATCCTGGTTTGGCCACCTTGAGCGTGTGGATGAATTGGCCTTTAGTGAGCAATTGGTCCATGAGTTGTCTCTCCATAGAGTGGCATATCAAGGGATCAAGGACCTAGATGGACTAACTTATTTAATAGGTTGTGAATTTACCAGGTTCACAAAGCAGGACTTCTGCCTCATTACCGGGCTACGATGTGATGAACCTTGTGACGTAAAGGTTGAGCCAGAAAGGATTAGGTTGCTGGGGTAGTATTATCCCAGGAAATTAGGGTCAGTAGGTGAAAATAGTGAGGGCAGGAAAGAAAAGGGCAGAGGTAAAGCCAAGGCCACCTCGAAGAAAGTCACCAAAAAAATATATGTTACTTGCAGGGTGTTTGAAATGGCCTTTAAAGAGTGCAAGAACGAGGAGGATGCCTTCAAGCTACGTTTGGTATACTTTGCTAAGGCTGTGTTGATTAGGGCAAAGGCCAATATCACTATGAATCTAGACAACCTCTACCTCGTGGAGGATATAGATAGGTTCAATAGTTTTTCATGGTGTTCCATCTCTAGTACGGGGATGTAAAAGTTCCAATGATGTCGATGAAGTGGTTATATACACACTTGAGGGTAAGCATTTAGGAACCAAGAGGAAGGTCTTGTACGCAAGGATGCCGTCAATTTTGTGGGAATCAAAAGGGGGCAGAAGAAGAAAATGAAAGTAGTTCGCCTTACAATGTTGATATTTGACATTACAGAGTGCAAAAAAATTCCATGCTGGTGAGCCTAAGGAGGATGTTGTGCAAAGAGAATAGGTAATTAAAGCCATTGATAGAAACTGCATGGTTGAGGTGATGAAGTATTTTTATCACTTCATGAAGCTGAAGGAGAACGAGAAGAAGTAAGTTAGTCATTAAAATTTGGATTTTATGTATGGGAAATTACATTCATTAAATGAATACAATGATGATCCTTACTGTTTTTTCGTTACTTTGTTAGTCCGGTTGCCCAATTTGAGATTATGACGGTGGAGACACCGATTTTCAGAGGTGGTTCCTTGACAAGGAAAGGTCATTGTCATCCGATGTAAGTGACTAAACCCTAGTTGTTATGGTGTGATATAAATGTGTTTAGATTGCATCGAGGTGAAAGTTTAAATAAAATTTGTATATTGCAGCACATTCACTTGCTGTTTTATCGCTTGCTAAAACATCAGGACTAGGCTCAAAAGGTACAGAGAGTGTTGACCACTAACACAACAGACTGGTTTCTAGTAATGTATCCAACTAAATTTCTCCTAATATTGAAAAGTTTGACAAATGTGATATTGAGTGTCTTTTTGTATTGATGAAGTGTTGTACATGTTTATTTTATACTTGTGAATAGACCTACTATGAATGCTACCATCATACGAGGACGGTTGAAAGCTTAACTAAAGGCAGAAAATACATTTTGTTCAAATAATTTTAGTCGGTGCTGTTGGAAACAATGAAGGGGGAGGGGGTGGATTTTGGTTGATCATGGCTAGACGATGTGGAAAGGGTCTATATGCCCCTGAACCTTGATCACTATTAGGTTGCCGTTGAGATGAATCGTAAAGCTGGGGGAATAATTGCGTATAGTCAATGAAGATGCCAACCCACTAGTGCCAAGCATGCACAAAATTGGCTCTCATCGCCCACGTGTTGCCAGATATCCTCCAAAGCCTGTCAAGGGAGGGGAAGAAAGAACATTAGCCGATCATGGTAAGTCCAAGGTCCCCAGACAACGGATGAGTTGAAATTTTATTGATTTGTTAGTGAGTTCAGGTAAATTATTAAGTTGTCAGAGAAACTTGTTGAATTGTTGTATGGCATAGGGGATTGTGGTATTTTTACTTTAAAAGTGATTGAGTTCTTATCCACTAGACTTCCTTTAGATGTAATAACGTCGTCCAATGTCTTTGCATTCCGACTTAGGATGACAATTGACATGTTGCATGGGGTACACAATCTGTGGAATGAGTGGTAATTAACAATTTTAGCGTAGAAACAATGTTAGTATAGAATGACTGGTGACGAACAATGTTATTGCATAAACAAATATTATATTGTTGATATGTGGTGTTGGAGAACTTTTCCATTTGTTGACACATTTTGTAGTTGTTTCAGATGAATTTAACGTATTGGATAATTGGTTGATTGGGGATGTTTTAAAATTATTTCTCCACATTTGTAGTTGTTTTGGATGAATTTCATGTATTTGGGGATTCTTTGTTAATCTCTTTCCAGATTGTTACTTGTTTTTGAATGACTTCAATGGTATCCCTCACAATTTATATATTGAATGAATGTTTGTGACAATTTATGAAACCAACCTATATATTAAATGAATGTTTGTGACAATTTATGAAACAAACCCTTATGTTTATAGAACCAACTCTAAACTGGATAGGTATTCGAGAGATTTGAACTCACAACGTCAAGAAAGTTATAGGGTTAGATTCCCTAAACTCCTCCATCCACCTTT